AAGCTAAATATATATATTAGAATATATATATTTAAAGAGAGAGATATAACAAATATTTGACATGTCATTTTACAGCACGTAGGAACACCTAATACACGTGCCTCGTAGTTCTCGCAAACGTATCGGTGTCATTAGAATTTAGATATCTCTACATGGGCCATATTCCCATCTCAGTCACACTGGCATGAATCTGACCCACTTCCATTATCTGTTGGCTATGGAGCTGCTCTGGTTTAAACTAGTGCAACTGAGATAATTTAGCCTCTTGCTTTATCAGTTTAGCAGCAGAATTATTTTTAAGCTGGCAATTAATTTTCAGTTTTCTCCCAGAAGTATTCAACATATACAAGGATATAAGCTATAATGTAGTGTACATTGTCAAGCTTAATTAGCACAAAACATGTTATTTTGCTAAATGCATTGAAATAAAACTAAGTTTAGTTTATTTTGCTGAATGACTTGAAATCAAGACTAGATTTAGGTCTAAGAAGGTGGGTTTTTTTCAAGCAAGAAAATAAGCACAAGATTTTCCTCTCTTTCTTTCTGATCTAAGGAAGTTGTACTTATCAGTCCTATATGTATTACCTAGTGTAACAGGATATAATTTTCTCTGTGTTTGTTTTGGTTTTGTTTGTTGTCCTTTAATGACATTATAATTGCAAAACTGAGTAATTTTATTTCTTTGGTTCCTGACAATCTAGAAAGACCAAAACGCACAGAGAATAGCATATTGCAAAGTTTATCAGACTGACCGCCAGCTGGAGGGACAACTTGGTCAAGTAATTTCATGCTCGTTTTCTTCCATATTTTCTTTATAACTGCTCTAAGTTCTTCATTTGCTTGCTCTAGGTTACCTGTGGCAATGAAATAGAAAAATGGAAGATGGCAATTATTTGTTCAGTCATAGTAATTACTCATCTGTACAGGCTTGAAAGTTCAAGCAACTGACTCCTGCGCAGTTTTTCATCTCTGACAGCGCTCACCTAACCACAGCGATGCCTGAGGGGGCTTTATCTAATCAGTTTGTTATTGGCAGTGGAACTCAAATTCTGCTGAGAATAACAGAAGACATGGACCAGAGAGTAGCAAAAGTTGGTAAAATAATGAACAAAACTATGAAAATAGAAAGAAAATTCTTTGAAATGCACCACTATTTTTTTAAAACTTTTCCCTCCTTGATGCAAATGACAGAAATCCATTCGACCCAGTCAGAACTGGCCTCAGCCAAACTGGGGATTTTGCTTTCAAGTGTGCAAAAGTTGCAGTTGCACCAATGTGGGATCCACAGCACCGAGTTAAAGAGTAGGGAGGAAGGAGCATCTTGGGACAGAAAGTGGAACTCATTCATTCCTTGCAGTAGAACTCCTGTGATGCCAATGCCACATGTTTTTATCTGATCAGATAAAAGCATATAATAATTTCTGAGCTTTCTTGGGCTCTGGCCTCACTATCCCTTTCCTTTCATTTTCCAGCAAATCATTCCTAGCAACAGTGAATACAACTCGTGACTCAAAACCAAACCCAGTGTCACTAAGGCAGTCTCACTCATGTCCAACAAAATTAATAAACTGTAACTTTTCGTCATTACACCACCTCCTGACAAGTGCAGTAAAGGCTTTACAGCTAAGAACCTTACCTTCTGTTTTTATCTTTAGAGCAGTCCTAACCAAGGCAAACAAAGTAGCATTGAACATGACGGTTCCATCACTGTTTAGTGGCATATTCATGGCTACTAACCTCTGCAAATCAGAAAAGGAAAACAAATTTTGATCCGCCTTTATTTGAAAAAAATCTCCTGTAATGTTCATTTCTGAAAAGCTGATGTGGTTCAAAGAATAATATCCAGAGGCATAAAAATGATGTAAGTCTTTGAAAAAAGTTGAGTCTTCCATGTTAGCTGTGTATAATAACCACCAAATATTGCTTCTTTCTGGTATTAATCACATGCATGCTTATACAAAAGCTAAAACTGTCCAGTAGTTTTCCTGAGCAATTTACTGAGTTAATTTGCAAACACCGAAGTCCAGTCCCTGGCTGCGACTATAAGCCACACTACATGAGTATTAAGCACAAACACAGTTATTTAAGAGCATGCACTCCTGCTGCAGTCACGTTCCGGGTTTCCCATGGGTTCCTCCAGCCTCATGCTCCATGAAGAGCCACAGCACCAGGTCTGCCTTGTATAAGCAGATTCATTTCTCGGGTAACTCTGCAGTGATGCCATGCATCTCTCATGCTATCTGCGCTGAAATAGCAGGAAAGGGACTTTCCTCTTTGGATTAGTCCATCTCTGCCTTAGTGTTGTTCTTTTAGAGCAGTATGGCTGTGACCCTGTCTGTCAGAAGAACACTATTTAATCTATCAAAATCTTTTCCTAATGTCTGACTTGGATTTTCTTCTATTCTAGTTTAAAAGCATTACTCAATTGGATAATTTATCTTAATGTATAGATACAGATTTGCTTTAAGTATGCCTTGTGGCATTGCATTTGAACTGTTTTATACATCAACTTACCTATTTATAAAACAGATATAAAAGAAGTCCAAATGACAGTGCTGTTGTAACAATCCTTTAATTAAATGCTTGATCTTATTCCTACTGAAATTGCTAAAACCACACTATCCACAGTTCTGAAGCCCTCAAATAACGTAATAATTATTCACCTCTGCGTTGCTTTTCAACTTCTATATAAAAATGCAATTCATCTCATCTAAATTACACATCGTGCCTGACATTCTACATCATTTTAAATTCCCTTTAATTTTCAGTCTTCTCACTCACTGTTTCATATTATATTGCACACCGTTATTCACTTCAGCTTGGTTTATCATCTTGCAGTCCCCACTCTTCAGTCTCATTTCTGTGTTTCATGTGCAGCAAACTTCTCATGAATGTGACTGTATAAGTACTGTATCAGAACTTAATTGTCAATTAAACTGCCACCCTCTCCTCCCCGGGACTGAAGAGAATTTGGAAGTGTCACTGGGTTGAAGTAGTTCTGTATGTGACACTGGGTCACCAGAAATGCTGGGATGAGGTATTTCATATATATGACATTAACAGAGTAATGACAGATTTACAGACTAACCCCCTTCAATTTGATGCTCTGCGAAATGAACCGAGAGAGAAAGCTAGAAAGAAAATAGGGTAAAACCTACCTTGCAGGCCACTCGGTGAGGGCATAGTTTGCCAAAACCAAGTGGTGGCTGAATGCGTCTCAGTAATGTAACCACATCAAGATGCTTTATCCTTCCCCTAGAACCAACACACATCAGTTACCAAACATACATCCATTCCCAAAGAATATACTATGCTCTGCTTTTATTGTTTTTTACCAGATAAATCTTATCAGAGAAATGATCTAACTTACTTTGCTTCAGGGTCATATTCTGACCATATCCTTTTGAACTCATCCAAATGATGGGGACCCAGAATAGACCAGTCACGTGTCAAATAATCAAAATTATCCATAATGACAGCCACAAATAAGTTTATAATCTAAAAAAGTAATTAAGAACAATCTGTCTTAATTATTTTGACATTTTTAAAACAAATCAATAAATAAAATAATTTTATAAGGTAGCAGGTTAAGAATTCAAGCAAATAGATTGATCTCATAAATGATGATTGTTGGCAAACCGTATCAAATATCACAGAAAAGACTTGCTAACCATTTAACTAAGTGGAACTCTATCAAGTAATCATGCGACAAGAGCGTGATTCTCTCCTGGAGTACTCAGTCTTTGCCAGAGGCTGTAACATGGCTTTGTTGCTCTTCCTTGATTTGCCAGATGCCACTACATCAAATTAAAGAATGGATCCAATACATGTATTTGACACAGTGTGGATCTTGGGAAACAGCTTTTGTATTAAAAGGATTCAATGTCATGACAATAAGACTTCTGCATACATTTGCTAACACAGAAGATGATACAGAACAGCAGAAGGTGTACGTTTACATTGTTAGTTCACAGAACACTGTCTGACCACTCTCCTTTTGCAAGGGGAACAGTACTGTGAATAGAACAAATCAACCAGCTTAGACCAGACACCTGCAATGAGGAAAAACATTTTTCAAAGATTATTTCAAAGCAAATAATCCATTATGCCACGAATTAGGGAGAAAGGTTATTGTTCACATGAGATGTGCCACAGTTTGAGCACACTTGTAGACACATGAATCCAAATTCTGCTAAGTACAAATAGCATTACTAGTAAGTCAAAGGAATTGCAGCTTTATTATTAATGAATATTTAATGATACTATTGAGAAATTAATGAAATAATAGCTGATGAAAAGACTGTTAACTTCGCTTTGAAACGTACAACCAACCACTCCTGCATACATGCAGTCAGAAGAACATCTTGCACATGGGAATTTAGAATCATAGAAAAGTTTGGGTTGGAAGGGACCTTTAAAGGCCATCTAGTCCAACCCCCCTGCAATAAGCAGGGACATCTTCAATGAGACCAGGTTCCTCAAAGCCCCGTCCAACCTGACCTTGAATGTTTCCAGGGATGGGAAATCTACAGCCTCTCTGGGCAAACTGTTCCAGTCTTTCACTACCCTCACCGCAAAAATCAGCATAAGATACAAGATTTAGGACTGTGTACGGAAAAATATCACTTTACAAAAATATTTTAACTATGGGATTTTCAATTGCTCTCTGAACCCACTACTCTTGGCTCAGAAGAAAGTAAAAATGCCAAAGCTCATTTCTGTTAGTAAGCACAAGCTAGACTCACCAAAAATGCACAAAGCATGTAAAAACTGATAAAATAAATGATGGCAAAATTGCTTCCACAGGTGTATTCTTCCCCTGGATTATAATCGGATTCTGGATCACAGCGTTTTCCAGGCAAACACGCCAGCATGATTTCCTGCCAGGCTTCTCCAGTTGCACACCTTTATAAGGTCACAAAGATAAATTAAGCATTATTTTATCCAAATGGATTAAAGATGTATTAATCTGTTAAGTTCTGACAAAATGCTTGGAGCTGTACAAGCACAAATGTGAATACAGATCGTGAACTTTTCAGAGCAGGAACATAGATCTGACATTGCAGACGCGATTTATAAGGTAGACTAATGCACCATAGAGACTTGCATGTAAAAAATTGAACCCCAAACTGTGATTTACAAGTTTGCAGTGGAGCTGTTGTCTACGAAAGCAGTGTTGTGTATGAAAACCTGTCATAAAACTTGAAAGTATCTGTTTGTAAAAGAATTGCCTTTTCCTCAGCATGGTTGAGGAAATGCTCATCTCTAACTTCTGCTATTGCACTTTTTGCCTGTGTACAGACTTGTGATTTCAAATATTTAAAAGACAATTACATATTTCTGACATTTTTGGCTGTGTTCATTATCTAGTTTCAGAGGCAAAAGTCTCTACATGCGTAAAGTGACTCAGATCTCACTGGGTGACGCCCTTGGTCTCAGATAAGGAATGACCTGCCAGTTTGGGCTACCAGGTCAGTAACAATGCATAGGAGCCAAGAGGAATTATAGAATCACAGACAAGAGAACTCTCAAGGTTGTCACCTTTAGAGGCACCCCTGTTCCACGTCATTCCCTCTCCTTGCTCCAGGACATTTTGAAGCACTCCTGGCAAATGTTTACCCTCTTCTTAAGTTCTGTAGTGACGGAGATTCCATAATCCCCCTACATCAAGATTTAGCTACCTTTGCCATCAGAAAGTTTTACCTACTGCTTATCTAATATTTCCCTTCTGCAAGTTACAACCTCTATTTCTTGTCATCTCTTCAGCAAATGTAAAGAACAGTTTATTTCTTTATGTTTGCAAAAACTTTTCATTTCTTCAAACTGTCACGCTAGCTCTGCTTCTAAAGAATACAGTAAGGGCACAGTCTTTTTCACCTTTCCCAACACCTACAAAGTGGTATCAGGGCTGACTATGTTTGGGCTCTACTTGAAGACAATTACTCCATAAATGAGATGTTTCACAATAGCTGTAATGAGTTGAGGTCTGTACCACTTGATTAGAACCCTGCTGTGCTGACGGACACTCAGCATACAGCCACAGAGAGTATGTGCTTGTTATGCTAAATTGCTTCTCGCTTGCAAACACATTTTGAACAAATCCGTGGTACAAGAGCTGCAGACATTTTTCATAATCAACAAAATGGAATGCAGTAAGAAAGAGTTAAGGTTTACTCACCTGAAGAGTAGTAGTACAGCTTGGGGGAAAGTCTGAAAATTGTTGTTTCTGTTTATTTGATTGTTGTCCCTCATGGCCACTTTTCCAAATACCTAAAATAAAACAGGATTTTGACTTTCATCCTAGTGACCAGTACTGTCAGAAGCTGTAGGCTTTGCCATCTAAACTTGCTTCTCAATGTATGAAAAACACACCAATACACTTTCTTTACTCTATTTTTTCCTGCTAATGATGTAAATACAAGATAATTCTTAATCAAGTAATTTAGGATTAATAAACCATTATAATACTAATACATATTCCTGTATTTCAGGTGAGAAAATATTATTTGCTTTAAACTAGCACCTAGAGTCCTTTATTGATATTAAGCCCTACTGCACTACATATTGTACATACTTGTATGTACAGAAATAACTGCTGTCCTGAAAACCTCGAATCTAACAGAGAAAGAGAGATGCAAAGACGGAAACCAAAGCACAGAGAGTCTGAGCATCCTGTCTCAACCAGAGGTGGAAATGAATTCCGCTCCTCAAAATTAAATTGCAATTCCTTGGCCACAAGACCATTCTTTTTCCCCAATATAATACATTTATATCCTCCTACAACAGAGTGAAGGCTGTTACTTGGTTTAGAGAGATTAACACTATTATGCTCTGTGTACAGGCTGCTGGACTGTAGGACATTAAGTTGCTTTTGGATAAATGAAGAGAAGAAATATGGAAGAAAACCATATTCAAGCATATTTCTTCTATTCATCCCTTTTAATTAGGACCTCCTTTTGTGTTGATTTGAAGAACCTTACAACTTTAAGAACAAAGGAAAACATCTGTACAGTTTTACAGAATGCAGAGGTATCCTAGGGGGGGAAGAGAGAGAGAGAGAACTGCAGCCCAAATTCAGGATACCTAACAGGAACTCCTGTCAACGTGCAGATGGTCACCCAGCCATGCTCCTCGGGCACCTCCTCATGCAAGCACTAGACCTCATGCATGGCACAGAGACTACCATGCAAGTCATCTGCACTGCCGATCCCAGCTCCGTGCCAGGGGCCTTCATCTGCTCCTTTCCTGCAGGACGTGCAGTCCCCTCTCAAACGGCTATCCCACCCTCACACTAGAAATGGTCCGGTAGTACGAATGTTAGCAACAGTTTCCTGACGGGTTTCTCCTATCTAGCTATCTCCAGTCACTAAGACTGGAGAACCTGTTCTGCCCTACAGCGCTGCTGCTGATGCGAGGAGTGGCACCTTCATCCCAACAGCACCTTTTTACAGTTTGAGTTACCAAAACCCTTTCTGCACTTGTACATCTTGTACATATATCCTACTCTTGATTAACCACAGGGTCAGCTGTGCATGAATCTTTAGCTAGATTATTTTCCTAGTTCTTTTCATATGGGAAAAAATATTTAAGAGCTGGAGTTTTAATGCCTGATTCCCAAAGCAAGTCTACAGTAAAAAAAAAAAAAAAAAAAAGAAAAAAGCCACGCATTCTTTCATAGATCCATGCATAGGAATAAACGTCACAGTACATGGAAGAGGAGTGGCTCCTTTCAGCAAACCAAGATACTATAAGCTTACACCAAGCTCTTCTCTTGCATCTTTTTGTATTTTCTGACTACCAATACCCTAGCCAGAAAAAGATTTTTCCGTTACTCTGAAAGCTCTGCCTTATATATAGCACCACTATCAAAGGAATGTTTCAACGAGCACCTCAGTAAACAAGTCTCGGCATAGCCAACACTGCACTTTTGTTTAATGCTAAAAAAATTCTATAATTACCTGCATTCCGATGACAGCATAGATGAAAAACAGCATGGCTATCAGAAGGGCAACGTAAGGCAATGCCTAGAAACAGGACAGGTGCATTGTCTTTTAATAATTTCACATCATAATTTCAATTTCCATTTACAAAAATAATGTCTCTGTACAACACAGGCATTTCCAAGGTTTTTCTTCCTATGCAAGTGCTTAAAATGTTATTACCTGTCACTCTTAACATCCTGCTGCATACACTGAACACAAGCTTCTTTATATTTTAAATTATTTCTGCCAGCAATCCAGGGGAAAGAATCATCGTTAGCAGTTTTTAATTTTATTTTCATTACTGATTCTGACAACACAAATATACTGCCTTCTATACCATTAGAGAGTTCCATTAACTTCACATTCATCAGATTTTCAGGAGCAAGGATTCAAATATCTATTTGTTACACTTATGAAATCAGATTTATATAAAATAATAGATTAAATTCCTCTTTTGTAGTCATCTAATAAAATGTGTGGAAGCATGAGACTTGTGTGCATTAAATCTATCCTATCGCTTTTAGATATTCCAAATATTTTTTTATAAAGTTCCATGGAAATCTCATGGTAACAGCTAAAACAACAAAGAATGACTTGGACTCACTGAAGTAACTGGGGAAATTTATTTTGGCAGTAGCAAATAATATTTAAATATGTCATTATTGATAGCAAGAATTTCAAAATAAGTGGGTTTTGCACTCTACAAGTTATTGCTTCATAAAAATTGGTTTATAAATGATTGTAATTATAAAGCAAACAAATAAGTTTTGCTAACCTGAAATGACTTAATAAATGTCCAGAGCAAAGTCCTGATTCCTTCTCCTCTGCTAAGCAGCTTCACCAACCTCATCACCCGGAAGAGACGGAAAAAAGTGATGGAGATTCTAGCGCTGTCTTCAGAGTTCTGAAGAGCATCATGGAGAAGTCAAACCAAATACAAACTCAAACATGCAACACTTCCAGAAAAACAACATCAAATGCAAAGGTGGAAGAGGTAAGATTTGAAAATGTATCTTGAGGGCCTTTTCACCTTGATAAGCATGATATGAAAGGAAAAATTACATGCTAAAAACACAGGACCTGTAGAAATGCTTCACACATCACATGCATTTCCAAGTTTTCTGGTTTGTTAATAAGGATCATACTGGGTTTGTTTGTAGTAGACTTCAATAGTACATTGACAATGAATGCAAACCACTGCGTAACACCTTTGTAGTAAGACAGTTATGAAAAATACAGAAAAAATTGGTGGAAAATAGACATGGTAAAAAGAATAAACTCAAGTATAGGTAAAACCACTGGGGCCAGTTTACTAATCTTACCCCAGACTCATCAGTTGTGACTGTTTCAGTTGGCTTTGGCTTTAAGAAATTAAGAACATTAAATATTAAAATCAAATAAAAGATCAAAAAAATCAGCTTAACCATAAACAGAAGGAAGGACATTTTTCATTTCTAAATGTAAATGAACATCTTTCAACTCAATATACTTCCTGAACAAAACATTAATATTCTTATTAAAACCTTCCCTTTAGCATTTCATGTTGGCTGACTCATACTAAAACATTGTTGACTGACTCATATTAAAATCTGCTAGTATAAAACACCTTTAAAAGACTCAGTGGAAAGTAAATAGAAAATAAAATATCTGCTCCTATGTAAGCCAAACAAAATTAGCCATCGACTCCCACAGGTTGTATGAAATTGTAGCAGTAAGCCTAAGTAAAACTCAAGAGCAAAGCTTTGGGGTCAAACTAGCCTTTCAAGGTCCCTTTTCTGCTGTGCTCTTTTTGAAAATTAATTACTCCATCACTGGAATCTAACCATATTCAAGTAACTTGTGTTTTATATTACATCAGGAGCTCCCTCAAAGCAAAGTAATTCACTGAGTTAACTCAGTGATGAACACTGGGTTTTGCAGCACTTAACAAGGACAGATTTTCACTCTGCCCAAGCAATAGATGTTTTTAGCACAATGACACGGAGGCTAACCCTCCCACAGAGGTGCAAACAAGAAGGCAATACTTGTACTCTTTCACCATCTACAAAGTACTCAGACACCTGAGCTGATGTAACAGGATCAGGGATGGAGAAAGGGCTTCAGGATTTGATTGACCCTTTTGGAACAGATCTGTACAACCCTCAGGAGCTACAGGGAGGAGAGAGGCACACACCAACTTCTTGTTCACAGGAGAAACTGTCTCGATAGCCTAAATGGTCAGACACTCAGCAAAGCAGCTAGCAAAGCTTAAATGACCAACTGTCTATGCTTGCTAGTGCACTGACAGATTCCCAGCAGCTTCTTCCAAAATTGATTGGAAACGTCTTTAAAAGCATTTATAGCACTAGAACAAATGGGATTCAGGACGATGGATCCAAGTGATGGGTGTTACTTTCTTGCCTAAAATATCCTCCATTTAAAGGGGCACCTTCCAATAATTATTGTCACATATAAAGGCGATGACCATGATGCCTCCTCAGTGCTGCTTCCTGCACATTATGGATGCATCAGACACACTCTCAATGCCATCATTGACTGAGAAAAATCGCAAGTATTGCTGTTACCTCAGATAAAACTTGAGGAGAAGGGAGGGAAAAGAGAGGAGCAGATTCTGCTGAAAATACCAAGAGAGGAGCAGATTCTGCTGAAAATACCATCAGTGTATTATACAAAATACTATGGTAAAAAACCCAAGAATAGGTAGTACTTTGTTAAAGTCAGATCATTAGCGGTATTTACTAGATTACTAATTGTTTTGTCTATTACTTTTTTGCAAAACATATATAAATGTATCACAACGGGAAAATGAGGTAAAAATAACTGTTTGTTCAACTATGTGCAATCTATATCTGTATACGTTACTGCCCTGCCAGGGTATCAGTATTTTCTGAAACAAAGAGTTTTAAAACTTTTTAAGGGATTATTACTAAATTGATGCATTAATATTAACCAAAACCCAGATCTCCTCATTAGACTTCAGTAAGCACAATATTTGTAAAATCAGCTGCAACATCTAAGCTTTGTAAGCACTTATATAAAATACACAAAAAAAATGCTGCCAATGAAAGACAGTTGCTGCATTAGAAAATCCCTGCATATTCCAACAATCTGAAATAAAACCATCAAAATATAGATTAAGGAGAAATTCATCATCACAAACACCATAAATGCCAAAATATCACAAAAATTGAAACAATCTTGCAAAGCTGTCTACCTACATCAATCACAAACCTGTACTGGTGTACACAAACCTACATTGGTATTGACTTTTTGGTACAGAAAAAAAATTCCTTTGTATCTGGAACTTTTAAAGGAAAAGGGTTTCAATATACCTTCTGCAGAGGAAGCCTGAAATTTCGTATTAATCTCTAGTGACTGACACTGAGCTTCATACTGTCTTGATCAGTGAGCAAATGACTTAATTAGCATTCAATATTTTGTATCATCAAAAATTAAATGAAGTATTTGACAGATACAGAACAGATTAAATTGCAGTATCATCACAAATGACACTAAAAAATGAAGTTAAATGCTGGGTCTTGCATTCGGGAATTTTTCCTGCTAGCTTTTATAGGAGAAGGATTGGGCCCCAAATACACTAGGAACAGCATTAGGATAGCAATATGTAATGGGATAGACAAGAACAGAAAAAGGATACTTTAGTCCTACAGATTTTTATTTAATTGCTTTCCAAAAGAAAAAAATAATGAGTATGCATTATGATTTGGTTATGGAAAAACGCTCACAAAAGGAAAGGAAAAAAACCACCCTTTTTCTATGTACAACTCGCTTAGTAATTACTTAATTCTCACTTTTGAAAATGCAGCCAGAGATCAGCTTTCCAAAACTATGTGAACAGTTCTACTGCAGGTGCTCAGGAATGATGAGTGCAAAATCCCTCAACTTTTTTTTGGGGTTTTTTTTTTTTTTTTGTCTGAAGAGTACTGAATGTGTTTGTGTATGCACAGGAGTGTGTAATGCACACTCCTCATAGATCACTCTTTCACATCTTCTTTGGACTAAGCAGTCCTAATTGCCTGTTTCTGAGGCTGATCTGCTGCTGCTGGGAAGTGTTAGGATGTGATATGCAAGAGATTATAAACTATGGACACTGAGAAGAGCAAGTCAGAAATGAAAAAGGAAAACACCCTATTCACAAAAAGTAAATTATACAAAAATACTGAGGTGGAGATAGATGCTAGAAACAAACAATGAAAATGAACTTCTCATACCAGGGGAATTTTTTTTTTCTGGTGAAGCTGAAAATATTCAACTTCTGCCCATCATTGGCCAAGCGTTTTGGGTACTGACAGTTTAAAGTGAGCGCACCTAATTTTTTTACCCTCTCTGCCATTTCCCTCTGATAATACAGCAGCTTGGTTTATATTATTAATACTAATTATAATGAAGCTAATATAGTGCTATACCACAAAGAAAACATTATTCATACTTATTTATAAAGGAAATGCTCATCGATGAGACAAAGTTAGTTAATGTTTATGTGTGTCCCTCCAGCATGAAGTAATACTAAGACCTGGGAAACTAAAATTAAGCTAACAATCTTCAGTAGCAATAACAGACAGCCTGACAATAACGGAGAACATCTGCTTCCTACAGATAAGGAAAAAATATATACTACCCAAACACATACTCCTATTTGCAACTTCAGTAATATTACTTGACACGTGTAGGTGGCACGTTAAGGATATGTAGGGCAAGTATTAGAGCAGACTTGAGATGGAGAGGGGGACAGGTTGAGCAGAGTGTGTCTCTCTGTATGATGGTTGCTGACAAAAATGCAAATAAAAATATTTTCTGCAGTCAGGCAATCTACCTACAACCTCCTCTTTCCTCTCACCTTCCACCAATCATTCCAATACTACTCGTGTCCCAAACGCTTCGGGACTGGCTGGTCGTGGTCACGATTGTTTTGCCCCCGTGGGGCTCTGTGGCTCCTAAGAGGACAGGAGTGCTTCTGGGGTCACTGCTAGAAGCCCGGTAATGGGCACGACTAGAATAAATGGGCGCCTGCTTTTGCTGCTTGGCTAACAGATGCGCTGCAATCAGGTACACGAGGACAGAGACGGGCTTAATCATTCCACCTTTTCTGTCAGCCACGTGCCAGCTACACTGAGAGCCTAGTTCAGCAAAGCACTTCATAACTATGTAATTTTAACCAATTCTTAAACACTTCTAATGGGCAGTAACATACAATTTTTCTCTTAATCAAAGTTCATCACAGCAGCTTTTTTCCCCCAAAACAATCCCAATCCTCTGAAAAGATTAACCAATGATCAACTTAAGTTTCTGACTCGCCGGTTAAAAAGTTTGCAACCTGCTAGCAATTTCGGTCAAATATTTACTGCTGCTTATGAAAAATTTAGCACATTTCCTAAACAGTAACTCCTCGTTACACCATATTGCAAGAAAAGTCCGAAATAAACATCCTAACAGAAAAAAGCTTCAATGTCAAAACTGTGAAGTGTGAAACAGATTGCATCATGCATTGGAAGCAAACTGTAGCTCTGTGTTTAAGAAACAATAAACGTGGTGAAAATCAGTGGATATTAGTATACGGTGTTGGCCAAACACTTCTTTTTTACAGACTGTGCCAAAGGGTACGAGAGAATGCCAAAACAAATGAACACATAATGATGATATAACCACGATTACAAATACAGAAGGAAACATCTGAACGACAAATACATATGATGACAATGACAATATACAGGAAAGCATTCAGGTTGCCAAAATATCTTCAGAAATGTGTAGCGTGCATGTGTCTGCATGCATGTATGTATATACATGTACGATTTGTTCAGGGAATAATTACTGGAATTCAAATGTGCTAAGCAAGTAATTTTCTTCATAGTCTTATCGGTTCTCTCTGTATTCCCTGTTCAACATGAACCAAATGCCCATATACATAATTTAGTAAAAGTTTTGAATCAATGTGAAGAACCGTAAAGTAGATTAAAAAAAAAAAAAGTAACTTTTCCCTTGTAAAAGATGTATTTAAAACTCTTAAGTTCATAACTAATATGTTGATGGCATGGTGTATTATTATGATAACTAATAAATATTCAGTTGTGCAATAAAGTAAATAATTAGTATTAACACTTTCATGAAAGTAGCTCAGAAATTTACTTCTATTTCCAAATTAAATATTGCAACATAGTACAGATTTCACATTGCAAAAAGACTTCATACTAACAAAAGCAAAGCCATATGAGAATGTATTTTTCTGACCTATCCTTAGGCCTAAAGAAACACATTTGCAGAAGTCTACAAAATGTGTTAACAGTATTCAAAAATATCAATTACTAGCAACAAAACACAAGTTCTAACATATGATACTGAT